AGTGCCTCACCATCTCATACCCTTTAATCTGTAATTTCTCCTCATGTTTTTGGCAAGCTATGTTTGGAAAGGTAAGACAGCTGTCAGTTCTTCATAGGAAGCATTATAGGAAGGATATTAGAAGTTCATTCAATAGATTTGTAAGATCACATAAAACTGCAACTACCTACTAATAAACATATTTTTAAAAGGAGACCATTCCGAGGATAAATCAGGTTAACACCACATTTAACACTAGAAATATTACTGTTTATTCACATGGTTTTGCTAAAACTAACAACTAAACCAGAAAGTTATCGGAAACCATGGAACAAAATCATCACAAGTAGCAGCCACTGCACTACAATAAAGTACCATCACCTTAAATTGCATCCCTTCCTGATATAAATGGGAAAACACAAAGCTTTACTTAACACAGTAGTGCCACCTTACTTGTAATCTGTGCACATGACCTGAGACACTCCCATAGCAGTAACTTGGAAAAATGTGGAAATGTCTCTTTTTCATTCCAAAAGAATGAAAAGGGTGGACAATTGCATTCTGCAGGCCATATAATAATACTTGCTTAACTGCCTGTTTAAAATCAACTAGCCACAATACTTAGGAGGTAGAAACAAAAGAAGCTCTAGAAAACAGTCCATGAATAGGCAGAGCTGATTGCCACCTCTCCTGGTCAATAATCTGATAAGAGATTTTTGATTCATCCATTTTTATAGTCCTGATAGTGTGCACTATTCCCTAGCTGCATTTTTAAAAAGTTAACTTTATTTCATGCCTTCTGGAAATAAAGCATAGATGAAACCACATAGTCTAGACGTAAAACTATTACTAATTGCTAAGTAAACAATCATTTCCTTATTTCTTAAGCAAAGACATTAGAACATTTAAGTGAAACCGTTCACTGTGTCCTCAGGCATTTGTCTAAACTAAGGACAATCTCCCACCAGGGAAAGAATTTCCTTTAACTGTGCTGCTATTCCTGTGAAATTGGTGTCTGCCCAATCTCAGCAGTCATCTGAGAGCTTTTCCTATTTGCACTGAGTGCAGCAGACAAGATTTTTGAAATCTTGATTGAGGGTTATCATTCCTTGTCTCTTTCCAGGAATTGTAATTTACAGCTCAAGTGATGAATTTTACTTGCTGCTTATGTCATTCAAAGATACAGTACCGCATCAATCTCTAACTTCAATTCTATTTAAATATCTCTTGCTTTTGAATGCAGTAGCTTAAGATAACTTAAAAATTTTGAAAAATAGTAAATAATCAGGTTAAGAACTAAATATGTATCTCGCTTGGAAAATCTAGTGTCCATTCATACTCAAAGAAGTAAGATGAAAGCATTTTAAAATTAACTACACATTACTACCAAAGAAGAAATTTCTCTTGTAAACTAAGTCAGCTCTAGAATGTCTATATTCCAGAAAGCTTGCATTCCTTTACCTCATGGAAATCAGCACCAGAAAGATGCTTTAACATACAAAAATTTTAAGATGACAGGAACTTGCAAACCACATACAACATGGCTATGGTCAGTCAGTCTTCCAGACACGCACCACTCTCTTTTTCTGCTACAGAAGAGCAAAACAAATTGTAAAGCAAGACATAATCTAGAAAAGGATCCAAAATGAGGAAGCCACTGAACTGCCACCTAATCTAAGAGATTAAAAAAGAGCATCACCACAATGGTACATAGAAAAAACTGTTGTCACAAGAGAAAAAGTGAGGTGGAAATCATATTGATATAGGTGAAATGTACCACCAAACGTGTTTCTAAAGTACCAAGATTAAAATGATTTGTCTTGTTAAATTCTCAATCCAAGTAGTGTTTGCTGCTTTTAGGTAACTTTTGCCTTGTTGCATTATGCAAGATTAACAGTTTGTTTTTAATCAAAACCACAATTTCTCATGTTCAGAGATGATGTCACGAGACACAAAAAAATGCATAAAACTTGCAGACTATAATCTTCAAAGAGTAATGGACATCTTTTACTTCTGAGTGGTTAAAAATACACACTCCTTTTGAGCATCAGTCCTAACAGAAACAGCTAAATCAGAACCATTTAAAGCACTCAGTACATCGATCCATGTAAGTTCTATGTATTTTCAGAGACAAAAATAATTTTGACCTCTGCTGACAGTAGATCTGAAAACTTCTCCTAGTTTTAATTAACAGCTATCTCTTCCTATTTACCACCCATAAATGTCCACTGTGTGTGGGTTTTGGACACTGCAAAAGCAGCGTATGATCTATGACAGGAAAGTAAGATATTCACTGTTCCACAAAAAACTGCACTTGTAATGTATTCAGTTAAATCTTCTCTCTATCCTCTTTAAGAAAGGTAGCTCTGCATAAAGACAGGTCAACTCTTTGCTGCTATATAAAGTTGAAGGTTAAAATACGTAAGCTGATGTGGGAGACTATTTCCTGCTGAAAGAAAAGCCCTTTAAACACTGGAACCTCAAATCTAATTTGTCAGCTTATTGATGCTTCCATGCCTACTGCCAATGCAAAGCACCTGTCTTTCCATGAAGCCACTGTTCTGGAAAAACAGTCAATGCTACCTAGTAAAAAGGTTAAGCATGACCTTATAGAAAAAGCAATACAGAATTCAATCACACACATAAGCACTTAAAATTCCAAAGTTCAGGTGAAGGACCAGACCTTTAGCTTTAATCAAATCTATCTGCTAAGCTGGAAGTGCCAGCTGGTCATCAGTAAGTGTGATTTACACGTGACTGACTTAAACGGGGAAGTGCACCAAGTAAGAGTCACCAACTTTTTTTTTATGCTCTTTTTTAGAAAGAGTATAAAAGAAAAAAAAATGCATTGGGCTTCACTGGAAACAATATCCTTAGTTAAACCAGCCTTTGATAAGCTCGCTCTTAACATATTCTTTTAACAAGAAAGTTGGGAAAACTTTTTTCAGCCAATGAAGTCATTGCTACCTACTTAAATTAGGGGACAACATGGCTCATGAAACATGCTCAGCTGGGTCTCCCACTCACCATGGCAAGAATCAAGCCCGTAACAGTGAGGGCGACTAGGTAGCAACTCCAAATCCAGCTACTCAGCTCTATACGGTTACAGTATTTCTGGAAGACCTGCTGGGAAGAACTATACAATTTAATTACTGTAATAGGTGAATAAAGCAAGGACTGCCACCACAATGTCAATCTTTAAAGTGGTCCAGGCTTATCCAACAAGCCTGACAGATATGCAGTTTAAATGTCTTCTGAAGCCACAGCCAGGCAGAATTGGGACTTGTAAACACTCCAAGAGCTCAAACTGAAAGGGAAACTCGGAAAGTGTTTTCCATCTGGCTTAGTCAGCCCCGCGCGTTGGTGCCTGGCGTTAAACCACGACACTGCATAAAAAAGGAGGGCGAATAAAAAAGCAGACCACTGTAATGCTCAAATTAATTATTCTGATTTTCATTAACTACCAGTGAAACTTTTAGATGCGTCTTCAAAGTGCACACCACTCAGTGACAACTCTTTTAAAAGAGATGCAGTCACACTGCATACACCAGGAGACACCCAGGGATCAAGTGCTTCAACCCCTGAGAAGTGAAATAATTTATTGTTTAGCTTTCAACACTTGGATTTCTTTTTAGAACTATTTAACATTTTTGTTATTTTTAACACACAAAATGAAAATTACTTCCTGGTAAACAAAAAAAAAAAAAAAACAACCACCGAGTGTTTTGTTTGGTTTGGGTTTTTCAGTTTGTATTTTCTAGCTAGGTTCCATTTTAATAATTTAGGAAAATAACCTTACTATACATTTGCATAGGGACTCAGCAAGAAACAGTACACAGATAAAGGTACCCCTGGAAAAAAAAAAACCCAAACCAAACATATACTCTGCTTTGCTGCTAGAGCTTGGTAATAATGACATTTTGCCTGAAAGTTTCTTTTACTGTGAAATGGACTTACAAATCTCCACCAAGACTTTTAGCAGTACAGAAAAATAATTCATAATGGTGATGTTCATTCTATAACAGTATTTTGGATCAAAACCTCCTTGTTAAGGGAAACTCCTCAAATAACCCAAACTGTCCATACATTCAAGAAGAGCTACTCAACACTAAGTTTTTACTTCAGGAAGGAAGAAAATACCAGGCAGCAAATCTACAGCAGGTTTTCTCCTCTTTCATACTGCACTGAAGGATAACAATGTTTAAAGCCTCATTAAAAACTCCACAAGTGTGCAATATAAAATCTGAATTTCAGTTTAATAAACAGTCAGCTCCAGGCAGACTATCTCTGAACTAGGTTTTCACTTCTATTTTAAAGCATCAAAAAAACTATCAGGGAAGGTTTTTTTATAACATTAGTATTTCTCAAGGTATCATGCAGAGCGGCTTTTAAGCCCCGAATTCCTCCACACTCAGAAAAAGCCCTTGGTCTGACCTCAAGACACCACACTAGAATTTGCCACGATTTATGACCCAGCTACATTACCCATGCTCTTCGGCAAGTGGAAACCCACAACTGCTGAACCAAGTCTTAACACCAAAGTTTTAGCATTTGAAATTTTGAGACAGGTGAATTAAACAATTCCATCTTTTTACCTCCATTACAATTTCAGTTAAATCAGCTTTTTTCCCATAAATCCATAAAGGAAAAAGAAAGCATCATTCTATTCACAATTCAATACAGTTGTGTATGACTGGCTTCAGCCCCAGGCCACAAGCCAGGAACTTTTGAGTTCAAGTCTGGCTCTGCCACTGACTTTCTGTGTGGCCTTCAAAAAGCCTCCGAATTTCTTTGCTGCTCCTCTTACATCTGTGCACTTACCTTAAAGAAAGGCACTTGCTTTGTTTCTGCAGGCTTTTCCCAAAGACAAAACTTGAACTGACTGACTCTGAGAGCAATTTTTACTATGCCTTAAACGTCTGAGGCCTACCAAGAAGCCTCTACACGTCAGTTGATACGTGGTAGTTTTTAACTGCAGTAACTGCCAACGTGGACATGTTACATACGTGCTTATACATACCCATATCAGACACATACATATATAAAAAGATGCAGTAAGCAGGAAAATAGATAATTATTTCAAAGTTTGTTAACAAACCCAGTAAAACAATGAAATTGAGTTACATGCTGTAATTAAACTCACAATGCAGAACAACCTGTAAACTCGTTCTTATAAACCCACTGAGCCAGCGATGAAGTTTTTAACAGCTTAACATTAAATGCACAGGGCACACAATGCTCAAAGCTAAAATGAATATAATAACTAATATTTAGAGTATTATATTAATAATAGAAAAATGGCCTAAGAATGTGAAAGGAAAAAAAAAGATTTAAGCCTAACCAAGTTATCTAACATTAACTGAACGTCATTTAAAAAGTAAGTTTTCTTAAGAAAAGGATCAAGGAAAGTTACATAAACTTAAGCTCTCTACTTGCAATCTGTGGTAGTTCACATTATCCGGACTGAAGCCGAACATAACAGAGACTGACACTAGCTAAGCTCAGCTCTTCCTGAACACCAATCACGCAGATACAGCTCATCACCTTTAAGACAGTATATATGCTGCTTTTAAATCCATCTCTGAGAAAAAAAAACCTTGTCCCCAAAACTTCATCAAGACAGGCCTGGCTTTCCAAAAATTAACCTGTTTAGTTTCTCATGGCCTAACCATTGCAAGCTATCTTCGAGAACTCAGCAACTGTAGCTTTAAGCTGCCAAGGTAAATTCTATACTCTCAAAGTTTAGCCTCCACCTGCTTTCACCTTTTTCATCTTGTTTTACCTGAAATCTGGTAAAAACACACTTTCTACAGTTTTTCTGTATCAGGATATATATTTTATAGTAAGTGCCAAATGTAGAGCACAACTGTCTCCTAATTAACAATACAGAAGAGTAAATTAATTCGGAATAATGTGTTATTTTGTGAGAAAAACAGTCACTCAAGAACTTAATCAGAAGTCACTGTTCCAGAATAGCTACCATGCAAAGATGAGATGATTAAATGCAAATTCAGATAGCTTTTGCACAAGAAAAATTAAACTGGTCCAAACTACCGAAAAATTAATTGCATGAAGACTTAGGTAAGTGACCTGAGATGGGAGAATCCTTACTTCTAAAAGACAGTGGCTTTCAAAACATATTTTCTGATTAAACCTTTAAAATTTAGGAGAAATACCTTAATGAAGAAGTACGTCTAACCAAACTTCTTAGGAATATTAAATCTCCACCCAAATGAGATTTTGTTTATAGTTTCCAACATCACGCCACCATCAGCGCGTTTCCATCAGATGAAGCAGCCATGAATACACCAATACAGGCAGTGTGTTGGTTACCCAGCATTCCTGCCAGGGTAATCCAGATCTGCTCTGAATACAATTACAGCACACAGGCAAAGACAAAAATAAAACAAAAATAACCCTCATGCCTTGTCCACTTTCTGAGCATTGCTTGGTCTGGTTGATATGTATCAAATAAATAATCTGAACATTACCTGCAAAGGAGCAGAAAATTTATTTGACTCTGTAACACAAGGCTATTTAATTTAAATTTCCCATTAATATTGCTATATGACTTCTGTGGCACCAGCTGGTGCTTTTACATCAGGTTCAAAAAAGCTTTTGGGGTTTTACTTCAGGTTAACCAAGTATTTTTACAGGCAATTTGAACCTAATCAACATTTAGGTTCCAACTAGTGCACATGAACTTGTAATGACATCCACAAAGGAAAACAGAGCTAGATACAGAGTGACATATCTAACCTCAATAGGGTATCTTCTGTTTCCATGTGCTATATTTTTTAACCATCTGGGGTCTTTTTTTTTCCCCCCAGTATTTACCACAGAAGCTTCCTTGAATAAAACAGGGGGTTACAACACTAACAGTACCCAAGTAAATAACAAAATAGGAAAGGTTTATTTATATAGTCTTACCTAGGATATAGAATTCATTTTTAAAAGTTCACATGACAATTACACTATCTAATTACTATTTTCTGTTTCACAGGACAACTGTTTTTTGATGCACCTATGAATAAGCCAGGAAAAAATGTTTGCTAACTTTCGGTACCTTCTGCCCTCTGCTCCCTGCATACAGAAGGTATCCATTTTCCTTTTTATTGCCCTCAAACTCTCTCCAGTAAGAGACAAAATAGCCTGGAAAAAATCCAGCAAGAGCTACCAGATTAGAATTTCCAAGCATTAAAATACCAAAATTCACTTGTATGCTGTGATCAAATCATCCTCACTGTGAACTGTTCAGCAAAAGGCTGAGCATAAACACGCTGGATATTCAGCTGGCAAAGTGACATATCAGAACATATCGACTTCACTTCAGTGCATGAAGTTCTCAGCAGTAGTCAACCTCTTGCCAAAGAAAGCTGTTTTGTAGTCAAATATATCTAGAGTACCAACACAGAATTAGAACCATGTGCTTTAAATCAGACCCTGAATCTGGTATGATTGCTTAAGCAAAATTATATACAATTAAAAATATAAATGCTAATTGACAGAAGCTGCAACAAGAACATGAACGCTGCTCCATTAGCACTATAATATTAAGTTGCAGTGTCTTCTACTACAAACAATAAAATTTATACCAGGGGAAAAAGGTGGAAGAAAACACTGAAGACTTAATTTAAGGAAGGTTTAAGTGACACAGGACACTGCATCCTGGAGAACTGGATGGCTGAGGCATCCAAGTTCACAGACACACAATGAACCACGATGACAACACATTTGTGTATATTTGCCACACAGCACATGTAAAATGGGACAATCAAGCTCAACTATAATTAATGGTTAAGTGGCATTAACAGAATATATATTTAACCTTTCCTGTTTTTATACAGGTCAACTAGCTCAAAAAGCTCAAAATCTAGAAAAGTTGTGGTGTGTACGTGCTTTAAAAAACTCGGATTCCAGCAGTGTCACTGCAGCTTAAGTTTTGCCATGTCCTTGTGCACACAGAGGCTGTGCCCAACAGCCACTGAGGTTATACATGGACAGCAGCTTAGACTGTGCTGTTCAGCAAATGGTGTGCTTAAAAAAAGAAAAAAAGAACACCAAAAAAATCCACTGAGAATACCAGCAGTAATTTTCCCATTGTTTTATTTTCCAAAGAAATACTTCTTCTCTGATTCAGAAATTAAGACTATGTTCTGTTTAATTTCAAATCACTTCAGCTGTTATAGCCACATCTGTACTTCAGGAAGCCCCACCTCTGCATCTACTATGTACACTGGGAAAGATGAGCGTGCTCCCCTTATTTCATAATTTAAGCATGCACAGTGGTTTTTTTAGTTGCTGAAGTAACTATGCTGTTCCCAAGCACATCCAACAACACGATGGAGCTCCATGTCAAAGTGATGCTCTTCCAATGCAAATTAAGACAACTGCTTATTTGTTTGCAGAGAACATACGTATCTATAAAAATAAATAAAAAAAAAAGCTGAAGTGGCTTTTTGCTAGGCTACCTCCCTCTAACATGTTTCACTGCTCCTATTTGAGCTACCTCAAAATTTGTTGATCTCCCCTACTGTTAAAATGTCGCCTCACACGTCCCGTCCTAAAAAGAGAAGCATTTCCATGCTGGCACGAAATGAAACAATTTTATCTTGATGCTTTGTCTTGGTTTTCTTGAAGTAAATTCCAAGGCTACATTTCACTTCTGAAATTCTCAATATAGCACAAATTTATATTGATACACTGCTTTATGCTTTTAAGCATTTTTCCAGCTATCAAGGTACTTTTAGATAATTTTCTCTGCCTAACACACAGAAACGTTCATTTCATTGAGTTCAGACAAAGTGTAGCACTAAAAGTAGCAGTAGTCAACTTTCATACTTACTACCCAGGGTTTTTAACAAGACTCCCCTCACTAGTTTCTCTCCAGGTGTATTAGCACACATTCTTCCATGGTGTTTAACCCCTGGTTTGATTTGTTCTGCCTTTAAAGTTCACCTCATGTTTTATTAACATATCTTCTCTCGAGTACCTGAAAAAACTCCAGGTTTTGTATCTTGTGTTGTTTTCCCATGTGACTAAACAGGTTAATTAAAGCAGTCAAGGTTTGTCCTTCCATTTTGCCCATACTGTAACATCCAAATATCACATCAACCAGTTCTTAAAACATGACTTTTCAGATTATAAATATATAATTCTAGTACCACCAGTGCATTTCAACCCTGAACTATAACGCCAGCACACTGTAAACAGCCAGGAAAATAGCCTTTAAAATGACAGCATCCATGAAACCTTAGGAACTCCTTTCAGAAGTGTGTTGATGACACTATGTATAAAAACCAAAACCCAAAAAACCAAACACTACTGCGTTCCTGAATAGAAAGCCTACGTGCAAAGGAAAATTTAAGCCGTGGCAAGTGCTAAATGTACAGCTCTGGAGCTGGAATTAACCACAAATACAGAGAGGTACCATTTCTTTTGTGCTCTGCAAAACAATTATGGCACTATCACTAAAACAAAATAGAGATATTTTTAATATATAGTATTTTTTATCTCCATGATGCCTCCATATTTGCCCGCAAGGCTGAAATGGTCAAAAAGTGTTATCTCCACGCCCAACTTCAGAAAACTTGTTTGACCAATACTTGAAATACGGCACATGCAATCATATCATGTAACACCACTAATACTACATTACGTTAGCAAATAAAGCTTTCAGAAGCAATAAATCTTTTTATTCACCTAACGTGAATTTTACATCTGTTTATCGAATTAATTCTGCAGCAATAATGTCAGCCTAATATTTCAATCAAGTTTAGTTACTTGAAATCTAAGGTAACAACACTAAGAACCCTGATACCCACATCTGACCCCCTTGACAGGACATGAAATACAGCTCCTGGGAGCTAGACATCCTATATATCTTATTTTCTTGCCTCAAATCTTGAGCTGTTTAAATAGGAAACCAATGCTTAACAAGCTGAAAAAGCTCTGAGGAAGGCAGTAGGTGGTTTCTTATTCAATTAAAGCAAAAAAGCCATGAAACTTTTCAGTTATAAACAACGGAGTACCAAAGGTGCAGATTCCAACAAATATTGTTCAAAACAAACTTCTCACCTTCCATCCTGGTCCAAAAGGACTGTAGATCCACAGTGACCAGAATTAAAGAATTCTGTTTCAAGATGCGAGACAAGTTTCTGAAGGGGTACTAGGAAAGTTTTGATTAAAATACTCTTCAGCAATGTTCTAGTTCTATAGATTTTTCTTTATTATAGATTTGGATGCTTTCTCCTCTACTTAGCCATCTATCAATAAGTAAGACATGAAAGTCTTAAAAGGTTAAGTTTAGCTGAAATCAGCCAGCAAAGACTGTACATTCTTACAAAATTTCGGTTTTTTCCTTCCCAGCAGGAAAGAAAGAGGCTAAAAGAAAAGGAGCTGAAACTAAGCATACTGATCTTTCAGCCATTTGTTTTCCCTGAATTTTTTCCCATTAGAATTGCTGACTCCTGTATATTGAAGCTTAATGTTAATAAGGCTTTTCTTGTCAATTATTTCTCAAGAATCTCTTAGATGTAGTGCAAAAAACTCCAGGGGCTCAGCTGACTACAGACTTCACTGAAGCTTTCAACCTACTAAAACAGTCGGCTTTGTAAAGTCTGATTCCTGTAGATACCAATAACAAGTGACATGCAAATGCAAACAAAAATTAAATAAAGCTTCTCAACTCAGCATCATCACTATAAACTGAATGAAGCAAAAAAGGTTCCCCTACCTCAATGCTTCTGTAAGCTTCAAATTGATCTAGAAACTGCAACTCAACTCAGGCCTCTCAAAATTAAGTGTTTTGTTCCCTTTGTACTGCACGAACATACTGAATAAAAATAGTACTGAAAATTGCCCAGATTCACACTTAAAATCCTATGGTTTCATAGGCTGCACAGTCCTCAACACACCTTGCACTAAGGTTTGAGGGATCAAAAGCATATTATAAGAGGAATTATTTTAATTGGTCCTTCCTGTTCACAATGTACTCTCTCACAAAGCTGCTTAAATGTTTGACAGACTCCTTACCTGGAATAATTTCTGTTATTCTCAATAGGTGCTTTTTGTCTGACCCATGACAGCTTCTGAAGCTCTGAGCAGGTGCAGTTATTAGAAAACACCCTGTATCCCACCATCTCAACAACCAAGCTGTATACACTAACATTTACACAATCTGGAAGTGTGCAACATAGGCAATAACACATGCAGGCAAAAAGATACAGAAAAGGTAAATACTTTTCTGAAGTGCAGATTCTGCAAAACCTATGTCCTACACTACTGCCAAATCAGGACACAGTTTAGTTTCTTTTTTACTTCCCCGGTTCAGCCATTCCATGCTACAGCAATTACCACAAACTACATAATTGATGTTTCAGTCTAGTAAGTACCAAATCTGAGAATACTCCTACTTTATACTGCATTTGAAATCAGTTCTAATGTCTAATTATTGTTTGTCAATCAACAGGTAGATTCAATATATTCTGGCTACATGAGGATCTCCACCCAAGAAGGGTTTGAATAAGAAAAGCCATAAGGGTGCATCTGACACGGTGTCAGAACCAGAACATTTTACAGCATTGCCTCACACAGATACGTGCCACTACTAGGAAGGTGGAATTTAATAAGTTCATTAACCCTGAAGAGGGAGAATGTGTTACTTCATATATGAACTGGGTTATCCATTACTGTTAAATGTTTAAGAACCAAAATTATCAGCAAAATACACAATGTAAAATTTGAGCAGAGTTCTTTTTTATTAGCTTCCTCTAATTTAAAATAAAAGCCCCACAGCTTTAATTTCCACGAAAATCTTAATATACTGAAGAATTATTTCAAATATTTGCTAGCCAGTGGAGGAAAAAAAAAAAAGTCATGATATACACAAGACTAAAATGAGGACAGACAGATATGTTTCCAATAAGCTTATCCAAATATGTCTTCTCCATTTGTTTTTAACTGTATGGATGTGAGGCCATAAAGCAATATAAAATTGAGCCAGCAATATAAAATTGAGCCATCTTGTAGGTTTACAAAGTTGACCTGCTACCCACAATCACCGCACTAATACACTGCAAAGCGAAATACATTCACACGATAATTTGCAGAACTATCTGCTGCTAAAATATCCAGCTACAAAAAATATCACGCTACAACGTCTATGAGGAAGGGGTGAAGAACCGTGTATACCGCCACTGAAATTTTTTCATTTAACCTCACAGAAAGGAGCATTACATCACACTCTTACAATGCAGGAGGAGGGGCCTGTTCTCAGAAAGCAAGCTCCAGCTATTTCCCTTTAATTTTCTGCTTGGTTCTGGAGGGAGTTGCAAAAATAACCTGGATTTAAATTTTTAGTAACACAGAAGGGTGAGGGAGGGGGGGAGGGAAGGTGAAAAAACACATCTTTTTTACCGACATTTACTAACATGCAGGCGAACGCTCGTTTTCCAGAGACCACAAAACATGGGTAGCGCCCAGCATCCCGCATTTGCGGGCGCACATTCCTGAATACCTGCCGCACCGTGGATGGGTCGGCAGGCTCGGCCGGGCCGGCGCAGGGGCCCCGCGGCGGCGATGGGCGCTGAGCCCGCCCGGGCCCCGCCGCCCAGGGACCCCCGGCCCCGCTCCCCGGAGCCGGGAGGTGGGGCCCGGCTGTCGGTTCCCTTGGCCCGGGGAAGGACGGCCCGGCGGGAGCGCTCCCCCAGCCCGTCCCCTGCCGGACCCAGCAGCAGAAAGAATGCGAGCCCGGGTTTTATGCATGCAAATTTTTGCAGCAGATTTAAGAGCTCCGGGTGCTGTGGGGAAGGAGTCGCTGTTTAAAAAGCCTCTATTTAAATAAAACAAGATTTTCAGCACTATCTTGTACTTCGCCGGCTTGGAAAATACAAACAATCTTCTGTAATTTGCCTAGGTGTTTTAAATTACAAATATCTTCCAGATCCACACCACAATTCTACGGAGAGCTCCTTCTAAAAAGCCCCAAAAATCCACTAAAAGTGCCGTACACGTACAAGCACACAACACCTGAAGCAAGTCTTTGTGCTAGAAAAGACATCCCTGCAAAACCACGGATGGAAACGGTCAACTCAGGCTCTTAAAAAATCGACCGACAGGTAAAAACAATAAAATATAAACGTACCACTAACCTCATAAAGTGCAGCAGTGCTTAAATCCAGCGAGTTGAGGCATACAAGGTAGAAATGGAAATGAAAAAAAAAAACCAAAAAATGGTTTTCGGTTTTTTTGTGGGTTTTTTTTTTGTTATTTTTTTTCTCTTTCTATTTCAAACGTTCAGAAACCAGCAGAGACTCTGTCGGCCATTTTGGCTTGAACTCCCTCGCTCTCTCCTCTCGCTCCCTCCCTCTCGCTCCCTCTTGCTCTCTCTAAAGGAAGCAGCTTTTTGTGACCTTCAAATAGAGGCGGCTCATGTGACTCGGGGCGGGCTGTCACTCACCACCCGGGCCCGGCCCACTGCCCGCCTTAAAGGCTCCGTTCCCCCCGCCGAGCCGATCGCCCCGGCAGGATCCCGCTCCCCGCCCTCACCGGGCAAGGGGGATGCACAGAGCGGGTGCAGTGGGTGAGCCGTGACAGTATGGAGAGCAGCCCAGCCGGAGCTTCTCTCTTTAGAACCGGCTAAAAAAGCCAGCAGCCAGTTATGCTAAATCCACATTAGGGCTGCGGAGCCCACAAACGGTGAATGGTGAATGTTAAGTCCCACCGGGAACACAGACCCCAGCGCCTTCTTGGAGAGAACCCCCATTTTAAGTACCACCCCGTCCTCACTCAAGGACAAGAGGTTCATCCTTAGACCAAAGTTAATCCTGCCTACAGGACATGCACACATAAACTCGAAATACAGGTGCAGAGACAGAACACTCGCAGGATAGCAGAGCAAACTGGGGCTCTCGGGCTGCCTTGGCTGCTTCAAGTCTCAGGCTGCGACTCGGCCATTAGGCAGGCACCACCACAGCCTCTTCCCACAATTTCCATAGATAAACGCTCCAACGGTTGAAACAGAGAATCCCAGCACCTTGTAACATAACACGAATCTGCAGGATGCTTCCAGACGTTACCTTGAATGTGCAGAAACAATAAAGAACACAGTTCAGAAACAGTATATGGTGATGGAGGTATGATCCTGCGGTGAGGAGACTTGCTCCTGAGTCAGTCTCACACAGGTAAGAATTGCTGGAACTGACTACGTAACTGAATGATGCCCGGTGAGGGAACTGACAGCAGTTTGCTCAGGAAGATCCCAGGAGCACCCTCATGATCAAACCCTTAAAATATACAAGTTTTCAATTCTGTACAGTGCAATATAACTATGTAGAAAATGTGAACTGCTTTAAATACCCTACAGGAAGTATAGTATGAATACTGCCATCTCAAATCTATAGTTATATTGCTGCTGGCTTATACTAACTTCTACTGAATCATTCTGTAAGTGTAAAATTAGTCAATGATTAAGTGCTGCTAAATCCTTTAGACATAAAGATCAAGTGTGAGGCTAAGTTTGGAAAGCTGGTCCACTCTGAACGTCATGATTCAACAGGAGTTTCACCCTCACTCTTTGCACTCTTATCTTTTCATATCCTCCGTCTCTGCACAAATATCTTCAAATTGATTATGATCTGATTTTCCTTTGTATGCTTCATTTATGTAGAAAGCAATAGAAGGAATGTTCTCATCAAACTCTGCTAAATTGTGCCTTCACAAATTTATATGAAATCCTGCTTTTGCCAATTATTACAGAATGTTCTGTAAGAGCAGAATGTTCTGAGATGGAAGGGACCCACAAAGATCATCGAAGTCCAGCTCCTGGTCCTATGCAAGACAGTCCCAAGAATGACACCATGTGCCTGAAAGCATTGTCCAAACATTTCTTGAGCTCTGTCAAGCCTGGTGCTTTTGCCAATACCTTTGACAGGAATTCTTCAAGCAATCTAAATCACTCATTTGTGACATCACCATGGAATGAAACTAACTTGTAAAGGCATGGTAGGGCACTCCATAGGAACTAACTTGAAGGGGGCAGAAGCTGCACATCTTAAGAAAGAGAATAAAAATCATTAGTATATATTACACTACCTAAGCCATTGGCTAAACATTACAAGAACTCATCAGGAGACCATGAAAGGCTAATATGGCTCAGGTTTCGACGTGCTTTGCTCCTACTACCCTCACAACAGGGTACAGAAACTCAAATGGGGATTCTCCCAAAGAGGGGATTCCTTCAACAGGACTACAGCATGCACTGTAAATAACCATCTATCTCTGCAGGCTGACCAAACTGGCGATAGCTAATGCGAGTAGCATTTACGGGTACTTAATGACACAAAAGCAGCTGGGTGCTAACTACTCAGGTTGCTCTGTCTAAGCAGAGAATCGGCCTGCTGGATGTAGCAGATTGGGAGTGTTTTGTGGTTATGCTAATCCAAACACAGCAATTTAAGACGTGGTGAAAACACAGGGCACATCTTACTTGTGGCAAGACCTGAAGAGAACACCACAATTGCTCTGAATCCCTAATGACAAAATCCAAACCAACTGCTAGGCATCTGATTGACACAAAGTCTCATAAAAGCAAATATATATGCATATCTATGAAACAGCTATCTCCTTTCTGAAAAAATACATTGTCTTGCAGCTACATGTTCTATACATGTTCACACCAAATATGACAGTATGCACTAATAAGCTACAGATAATTTTATTCCCTCTCAAAAGCCAAATTGTTTTACTGAGACTTATAAATCCTCTTACCTTCACTAGGGCTTGCCAAGTCTCCATTCTGAAGTCTTGGAAGCTTTTACTTCAAGGAGTTGGTAATACTGTGCTGACTGTCAGAAAAAAGCACTCCCTTGAGTTGCTGTGTATCCAAGTGTAAATTACTGCTATAAAATTTCACTCTGTCAGTGTTCTATTGACAAAGCTTTTTTAATCAGAAAAGAAGCAAATAATCAGTGAACCAAAAGTATTAAGAGGCCAGTATGGGTAATTCTTAAATAACTGTAGCTTTAATTGAATTTTTTCAACTAAGCTAACAACTGAAAGATATCCATTCTTTACCTATTCTTGTTGGCCTATCGATTAAGATAGCTAAGGAAAAGTTTTAGGTTTTTTGTTTTGATTAGAGGAGGGTTGTTAGGTTTTGTTTGTCTGTTTGTAATGCAGCACAGCAGTTAAGAAAACAATGGACTAGAGCATAAAAATACACAGCATATACAAAATCTACAGATCCCTTTTCAGAGGGCAATTGGATTTCAAAATCCTAACCATTAAGCATTCTGATGCTAACAGCATTGTTAATAGCTGGTGTTAACAGGTTATATCCCTGTTATGTGCTACTAACTTATCTGATTACAAACACTTCATTTCTAAGCTCCTTCCATCTGAGGATAATAAAACACTTTGAAATCTTTAATGAAGCTTCACAGTGCTCCTATGAGGACAGTATCCAGTATGAGCAGACATATATGTGCACATTAAAAGAGATGCTTACAATCATGGATTCCCTGTGCTGGTATCTCAACTGAGACAGGAGACAAGTGGGGTTTTTAATTCATATTAAGCTGCATTGTGGTTCTAGTAACAGTTCATCCTTTCCGATGACCTTTTGATAAGAATCGAGCAATTAGGCTTTAACATTATATACACAGGCACCTTCCACTGCCC